AAAAAAAAAAAAAAAAAAGCCATTTAATGCAGACAAAGGTTGTATGAAAATATAATTCTGCTTTTGTTAGCAGCCATCAAACTCTAAAAAGCGTCACTTTTGTTTTCTTGTAACATTGTGAAAACCTCGTGTCGGATCGAGAGCTGGGGCCCTCTCGACTAATCGCCTCTCCTTTGTGTTTTTAGATTATAGGGGCAATTAGTGTTGTCAAAACCTCTGGCAATTCTCTTTGCTCTTGACAGGGTGTCAGTCCGCTGGGCGAGAAATGGAAGGTGTTATAACTCTCCGGTAATTAGGATGCCTCCGATTTGAAAATGCCAGCAAACGTGTTGGAGGGGGCTGGGAGCCCGCCCGGGCTGGGGAGGGGGGGGGATGTGGAGGAGCAATTAATTAGGGGCTCTCATTCCGAGCACGTTGCTTGGCTGATGAATTGGCAGAGGGAAATTAGCGGCGCTCCTGGGCTCGCACCTCGCTCTCCTCGCCAGCTTCTCCCCTGCCCCAGATGTTCGCCCGGGGCTTGGCACAGCTGGCTGGGAGCACCTGTGTGCCCAAAACAGCGGCTCTTCGCTGGGTGCTGGCGCCACGGGGGGCTCTGGTGGGTGCCAGAGCCTTGCAGGGTGCTGGGGTTCATTGCTGAGCTCCAGCCTTTGGGTGGGAAATCGGAGGAATTAATCGATAGCTCCGCCACGGAGGTGGCTGGAGGGGGAAACGCTGGTGACAAACAGAGCTGGCCCCGTGTCCCACGCGTCCCTGCAGCAGAATGCCTGAGTAAATAGATAAGGCTTTGCAATCTCCCTTGAAGGTCAGCTGGACACCCATGACAGGCGGGAGGGACTGCACGGGGCCACCCCGGGGTCCAGACTGGGCATCACTGGGGGTCCAGGCCGGGAGCCAGGCTCTCAGTGGGACTTTGCTGGGTTTCTCTGCTCTTTGAGGTGCTGAGATCCTGAGTTGTTTAGTTTGGATCAGCCCTTGGCGTGCAGCTGGATCCTGGCTTGTGCTCTGCCCCATCCCACGTGCCAAGGAGCTGCTGCCTCTTCCTGGGATCCCCTGGAAGAGCCCGTGGCTGCTGGTGGCTCCCGCCCAGCAATTCCTAATTGCTTTCCCAGGAATATGAGGCATCCAGGAGGGTCATTAAATCACAGCAAGGCCCTGACCCTGCCCGGCTGGGGGAAGGCTGGGATGAGGCAGCTCCTGATGGCTCCATCCGGGCACTGCTCCACCTGGGCAGGACCCAGCAGGGCTGGGATCCATCACCAGCACCTTCCCAGGAGCTTCACCTCACTACGGGGGTGTGGACCCGTGTTTTGATAACCAAAGGCAGGGGCTGGCAGGTTCCCTGCTCTTGGCACAGTAATTACAGAGTTGCTGGTGTCAGCTGGAGGTAAAAGCTTTGATGTGTCTGGAGAACCCCGTAACCTCTTCCTCAGTGCTCTGCTCTGCAGAGTTATTTGGGTGATCAGTATCTTCCCACTTCCCTGGCATTTCCCTCCACTCTTCCCATGCTCCCAGCAGGGGAGGGAGCTGTGGTTTGATGCCCAGTTCCCCCAGTTAAATTGTATTTTTAAAAAGAGCCCTCAGCTTGGGGGGAGCTCATGGTTCAGGAACTTCCAGTGGCACATCTCCCTGCCATTGCCACGTCCCAGGGGACAGACCCGTGCTCAGGAGCTCCATCCAGAGGTGTGGGGGGCATGGAGGATGCTCTGGGTGTTTGGGGACAGTGGTGAACGTGTCCTTGCTGTCGCAGGTCCCCGTGTCCGTGGCCATGATGTCCCCACAGATGATCACACCGCAGCAGATGCAGCAGATCCTGTCCCCACCCCAGCTCCAGGCCCTCCTGCAGCAGCAGCAGGCGATAATGCTGCAACAGGTAACGCTGCACCGGGGCTGAATGCAGCCAGGAATTCCCACCAGGGGTCTGGGAATGCTGGGGTTTGTTGGAGGCAGGAAAATGGATCCTTTCCTCCTTCTGCTTCCCACATATTTCCTTTGGGATTCCCAGCACGTCCAGGGATGGAAAGAGCTGCAGGTGCTGACAGTGCTGGTGCTGCCACCCTGAGCCAGGGCTCAAAATTCCTACAAAATTCTGCCCAAGGGCTGCTCTGGGGCTGCCCAGCTCCTGGGAAAAGCCAGGGTCGGGGTGGATGCTCTCGGTTTGATGTGCCCCAAGCAGAGCCCCCGTGGCCACTGCTGGGCTTTGGGCAGGTGCCTGTATCGAGCTCCAGAGCTGAGGTTTGTTTCTCATGGCCCTGCGTGGCTTTTCCAGAGATTTTGGTTGGATGGGGAGGGAAGAAAAAGGAGGAGAAGGGAAAAAAAAAAAAAAAATCAGATTTCCACTCTGAGACAAAATAGGTCTGCTTGGGTAATAAACAGCTCTGCCGGGGGAAGGAGGGAGAGAGGGAGAAACCCCACAAGCATCCTCCACACCCTTCCTCCTGCCTCCAGTACCTGTTTACTCCAAACAGGCCGATAAGGATTCAAGGTTGGCCCCAGGGAAAGAACAAAGGGTAAACACTACCCTGGGTGGGTCCTTCCACAAGCCTCTTTGGAGCCGGATAAAGAAACACGTTTGACTGCAAATTAAACAACCCAGGCCGGAATAGCTCACATTCTCCACCGGCAGCAAACCAAACATCACACCTCTCACCCCTGACCCAATGTTCCTGCTCCCAGCCCGGCGTGGCCGCTGCGCCCTGGCTGGGGCTGGCTCGGGGGTAAACATCCAGCCCCTCCAAACCTGTTCTCCGACACAAACAGCCCCTGATAAAGGCATCCCGACATCCCCAGGGACATTCCTGAGCCCCTGAGAGGGGGCTGGGGGGTCTCACTGACCTCGCCGTGCCTTCCTCCCCCTCCCCTGCACGCAGCAAATCCATCACCCGCACTTTATTCAGGGGCCGGGGTGAGAGCTGCTGGTCCCAGCGCTGCCTGTGGCTGCTGGGACCCTCTCTGGTGGCTCCCTGTGGATCCAGGGGGTTTGTCCCGGGTTTTGTGGCCCCTGCTTTGATTTGAGGGGCTGTTTTGGCTGCAGGGCTGAGCCCCCAGCTCTCACAGGCCAGGGGTTGTGGTGTGTGTGTCCTGCTCCTGGGACCCCACCGGGCTCTCACAGCACTTGTCAGGGGTGTTTTGGGGTCTCACCATGCCAAAACCGGGCTTTCCCCACCCTGAAATGCTCTGTGATGTGCCAGAGCACCCCGGCCTGCTTTTCTCTCAAAGGGCAGTGGGTTGGCATTAAAATGAACAGCAGGGTGGGCACTGGGGGGGTTTGGGGGTTTCATGGGGATCCAGAGCCCTTGGGAATGCGTGCCCAGGGTTCCTGTGCTGCCCTGGCTGCCCTGGGGGGTCCTTTCCTGCCAGCCTGCACCAGGTGACACAGGGAGCCTGCCCTGGTGACAGTGCCAGCAGGTGGGCACGGGGTGGCTCCCTGCTGATCCCATTGCTGATCCCATTGCTGATCCCATTGCTGATCCCATTGCTCTCTCCCCTTTCCCAGCTGCAGGAATACTACAAGAAGCAGCAGGAGCAGCTTCACCTGCAGCTGTTGACCCAGCAGCAAGCCGGAAAGCAGCAACCCAAAGAGGTGAGCTCACCTGGAGGGCTCCAGGACAGCAGAGCTGGCAGCAAATTAAAGGGGGGGCAGCACAAAACAAAATGTGGGACAACCCCCAGGGAGCACATGGGAATGGGACATCCTGCTCTGGAGGTGCCAGGGTGACCAGTTCATCACTGGGAATTGTTCTTCTTCCTCTTTTTCCTCCTCCTCTTCCTCCCTCTCTGCAATCTGGTGTGGGGTGTGGGGCACCAGCACCAGAGGGGCCTCCCTGGTGACAGGGACAGGTCCCAGCCCCCCAGCACAGAGCGAGGGCTCCCCAAATCCCCCCGTGGTGGGGTCAGAGAAGGCTCAGCCCAGCCCTTGCCCTGCCAGGCTCAGCTTGGGCAGCCCAGTCCTGGCTGAGCTGGCACAGCAGTGCCCTGAGGAGTGGCCAGGGCTGGTCAGGTGGCAACCAAAGCAGGGCTGGTCTGGTGGCAACCAAAGCCTGGCTTTTCCTGCCAGGAAGGGAGGCTCTCCAAAGCCCAGGGAATGTGGGAAACAGCAGTGATCCCAGCAAAGGATCACTTTGGGCTTTTCCAGCAGGAGACTCTGGGGTGGGCAGGGCTCTCAGCCCCCCAGGATCACACTGGCAGGGCTGGGCAGGTGGGTGCCTGGTGGAGACTCATTTTATTCCCTGTGATGGCACCAGTCTTGTGTTTAACCTTTACACACCCCCAAGGGCTCGTGGCTGTGTTTTGGGGACGTGCTGTGGCCACCCAGAGCCTGGGGACAGAGCCCAGCCAGCAGACAGCACCACTCCATTCCTTTTCCTTGGGTATTTCTGCCCCTCTCTCTTCCCAAAATGCTTCACGTGGGGTGTTTTTTGCAGAATTCATGTCTGGCATGGCTGCCCCTCCACTGAGTGTCCTTCCATGGGCTCCCAGTGACAAGGGAGCCACTCCGTGCCCATCCCTGCTGCAGGCAGGGATAACGGGGCTGTTGGTGGCCATCACTCCTCCCAAAATCCAGCTCTGGATGGACACCCAACACTTGAAATTCAGCTTTTTTTTTGGCAGAGAGGGAAGATTTTAAGCCCAGACTGTGTTGGGGTGGCACAGGGGGGACTGACTGACGCTGGCATCAGGGCACCAGGGTGGCAGCAGCGGCTCAGGGTCACCTGCTCCAGCCTCAGCCCGGCTCTCCCTGTGGGATGTGGCTGCATTTACAGGGTCAGGGATATCAGAGCCATCTCCAGGAGCTGGGGAATGGGGGAGGAGTAAATGTGAGCTTCCTCAAGGACTTTGCTGCTGGCCCTGGTGATGTTCTCTTGCAGCAGCGAGCAGGGATATAATTAAGCTCTAACAAAGCGCTTGCTTAGCGGGCTCTGCTTTAAAAAGCTCGTGTTAACTTTTAATTAAATGCTACAGAGGAGACTGGAAATGTATCCAACAAGAAAGGGTGTAGCAGGGGGGAAGGGGTGTTGGATGCTGCTGGAGGGGTGTTTGTCCAGCTTTCCAGCTGGGAAAAAGCACTGAGGGGGTTCCAGCAAGGGGGATGTCAGTGTTTCCCTTCCTCAAAACCCTCGGATAAGCTTGGGTTTCAGCCCAAAAATTTGGGTAGCTGGTGTTCCTAAAGTCAGTGTTCATGTTTGCCTGCTGGGAATGGTGATGCTGTGGCTTCCATGAAACTCAGGGAAGAGATGGAGTGTCAGAGATGCCTCCACAGAGCTGCCCTGGGATCTTTCATGGAAACCCATGGCCAGATTTTATTCTGGCCCTGCTGCAGGATTTGTAACCCAGCGCCTTCTGCTTCTCCTCTGCCTGATCCCAAGGGCTCCTCTCAGCACTGCTGTGAGTCAGCAGCTCAGAGCAGGATCCCCAGGTGGGAAAGGGGCCAGGAAGGAGCTGGGATCAGGGGCAGCATCTCTGG